ACATGGTGAAACCTTGTCTCTACAAAAATACAAAAAATTAGCCAGGCATGATGGTGGGTGCCTGTAATCCCAGCTACTCGGGAGGCAGAGGCAGGAGAATCGCTTGAACCCGGGAGGCGGAGGTTGCAGTGAACTGAGATTGAGCCACTGCAACCCAACCTGGGAGACAGAGGAAACTCCGTCTCAAAAAATAAAAAAATAAAAATAAAAAAAAGGTCAACAAACCAAACCCTTCTAATTTATTCAAATCTGCTTTTAATATAAGCAAATGATAAATTATAATTGTAATCTGAAAAAGCAGAATCAGGGGATTTTGGAGCTGGACAGTCCCCTGGAAATTATTTGGATCAAAGCCCTCATTTTATAGGTGAAGAAACTGAGAAGTAGGATTTGAGCAACTTGTCCAAAGGCTTTGCCAAAGGCTATACCAGTGAATGGCAGTCTGGACTGGAAGTCCCAGTGCTGCCGTCCAGGCTGGACCTGACCTGTTCCACTGCACGCTACTAGCTCCTGGGCTGAGACCGACCTTTTTCTTGGCAGGTTTTTTTCTTTCAAAACTACTAATTACTGTTATTTTTCGTAGAGATGGGGTTTCGCCAGGATGCCCAGGGTGGTCTTGAACTCCTGAGATCCACCTGCCTTGGCCTCTCAAAGTGTTGGGATTACAGGTATGAGCCACAGTGCCTGGCCCATTTTCCTGTCACCTCTTTGTTCCTTCTCTCTTTCTTTAGCAGCGTTATGTTCTATCATCGTATACCAGAGTTCCTGAACTTCAGTTATAGTCTGTTCTTCTTGCTTTATGCTATCTTCTTCAGCAAGCTCATTTTGGTCTGTTTTCCTCCTTATCAGGCATACCCCAGAAACTCCGAAGTTTTATCTTCACTCCAACTAAACATTTTCTGAGTTCTGCACGTCTGTAAACTGATTATTTAACTTTTTTTTGTTTTGTTTTGTTTTGTTTTTTCTGAGACAGAGTCTCTCTCTGTCACCCAGGCTGGAGTGCAGTGGTGCAATCTCAGCTCACTGCAGCTTCCGCCTCCCAGATTCAAGTGATTCTCCTGCCTCAGCCTCCTAAATAGCTGGGATAATAAGCATGTGCCACCACACACAGCTAATTTTTGTATTTTTAGTAGAGATGGGGTTTCACCATGTTGGCCAGGCTGGTCTTGAACTCCAGATCTCAAGTGATCTGCCTGCCTCGGCCTCCCAAAGTGCTGGGATTACAGGCGTGAGCCACTGTGCCTGGCAACATCTGTAATTGGATATCTCAATATCAAGAAGGCCCATAATCTTCCTCTGCCTCATCCCTCTCCTAACTCAGTCCTCTTCTTGTGTTTCCCAGTTCAGAGAATGGCACCATTCTCTATCAAGCTGTGCAAATCAGACATGTGTGATTTTCTGTTGTTGTTGAGACAGGGACTCACTCTCACCCAGGCTAGAGTGCAGTGGCGTGATCATGGCTCACTGAAGCCTCAACCTCCTGGGCTCAGGATATCCTCCCACCTCAGTCTCCTGAGTAGCTGGGACCACAGGCCCACACCACCATGTCCAGCTAATTTTGTATTCTTTGTAGAGACAGGGTTTCATCATGTTGCCCAGGCTAGTCTCGAACTCCTGGACTCAAGCAATCCACCCACCTTGGTCTCCCAAAGTGCTGGGATTACAGGCGTGAGCCACCGCGCCCAGCTGAAGTGTGATCCTTAACTTCAGCCCTTCTCATGCCCTCCATTTCCAATCCATCTCCAGTCCAGTTGATTCCAGCCACTCAATTCTCTTGAAGATTGCCACTTATCTCACTCCACTACTTTTCAAGCTACCACCATCTCTAACTACAGTCATCTCTCAATTCACTGGTCTCCTGGCATCTCTCTGGTTCTCCCCCACTAATTTCAAAACAAATTTACTGTGACAGTGCTCACAACACTCCCCCTTGCTCTTACTAAAGATGCTTACCATAGCCTCCAGGTATTGTATGGTCTGAGGCCTATCTTTCTAGGCGCATGACACACCGTATCTCCCCACTCTCAAATTTAGTCTCCAGACTCCATCCTTTTTATAGTTCTTTAAAATCATCACAATTCCTCCAACCAATGGGCATTTGCATGCGCTATTGCCTCTTTCCAGAATGAAACACCCTCCCTCTGCCTAGCTAACTTCCATATATCTACGACTGCAGCTCAGTCAAACTTTCTTGATGGACTCCCTCCACAACTGCCAAGCCTGGGCCAGATTCTTTTGTTATGTGCTCACAGAACCATGTTCCCTTTAGCATTCATTGAGTTTGCTGTTTAATTATTCCTATTTTGTTTTTGTTTAATTAGTCCTATCATGGTAGACAAATGTTCCTTAAGATCATAGGACATACAGGACTGTCTCTACATAAAAACTGTTTTATATCCATAGTGCCTAGCACAGTACCTGGCGCACAGTATACGCTCAATAAATTTTTGTTGAATTAATGCAATTATCATTATATTCCTGATATTAGCAGGTATAATCCAGTTTAAGTTTGGGAACAGAAAGACAAAACAGACTACATCTAATAAATCCAGTCTCCTTTTTTATTTATTTACTTTTGAGACGGAGTTTTGCTTTTGTTGCCCAGGCTGCAGTGCAATGACATGATCTTAGCTCACTGAAACCTCTGCCTCCTGAGTTCAAGGGATTCTCTGGCCTCAGCCTCCCAAATAGCTGGGATTACAAGCGTCTGCCACCATGCCCAGCTAATTTTTTTTGTATTTTTAGTAGAGATGGAGTTTCACCATGTTGGCCAGGCTGGTCTCGAACTCCTGACCTCAGATGATCTCCCCACCTCAGCCTCCCAAAGTGCTGGGATTACAGGCGTGAGCCACCGTGCCTGGCTAAGGTCTCCTTTCTTTTAATCAGACTTTCACCTTTGGCCATTCTGCATAGTCATTCACTCAACAGTATTTACTGACGGACTGCATATAGAGTGCTTGATTAATGTTACTGCTTTGTCATTATTATTATTATTATCATTATTATTAAGACAGAGTCTCACTCTGTTGCTCAGGCTGGAGTGCAGTGGTGTGATCTCTGCTCACTGCAACCTCCACCTCCTGGGTTCAAGCCATTCTCCTGCCTCAGTCTCCCAAGTAGCTGGGACTACAGGCATGCACCACCACACCTGGCTAATTTTTGTATTCTTAGTAGAGATGGGGTTTCACCATATTGGCCAGGCTGGTCTCGAACTCCTGACCTCAGGTGATCTGCCTACCTCGGCCTCTCAAAGTGCTGAGATTACAGGCGTGAGCCACTGTGCCCAACTTAATGTTTCTGCTTTGAAATAAACATTTAAGAAGTCTTTAATCGGTTGAAAACAGCAAGATTTTAAAAGTATTTTAAAAAGTGAAACAAAAGAATGCTTACTTCATTTCACAGAGAGAGGTTTCTCCTTTATGTTATTTTTAAAAGGAGATGAAATTTTGTTTCATTCATTTCTGTTTATTTGGACAGGCCAAATATGAACAACTGAACACGCCAGCGTTACCATACACATGTTACACAGATGCCATCCTTCTTCCATCGGCTCTCATATGCAATACAAAAGTAAAAAGAGGTTCTCTTTAACAGGTAAAAATTGAAGTTCGGTCACTTAACACAGAGTAAACAGTAATTACAGTTATGCTGGTAACAAAAGACAGCATGTTCTCTTTGAAAGCACCGTATTTGGTTTGTTTCCGCGCTTGGTTCCAGTATCTGGCACATTTTCCCCGGGAGTTTTCTTTTCAGTGGGATGATTATCTTCAGGGCAAAAAAGTTTATCAGACTCAAGTTTTAGCAGTACTTAGTTTATTCATTTATATACACGTAACTGTAACCCCATTCTGTCTTCCTCCAGTCTTCTTACTGTATTCCTACTGACACGTATATTATAACACCCTCCACAAGTTCTATTTACAGTTAAGAATTTCTTTTTTTTTTTCTTTTTTTGAGACGGAGTTTCACTCTTGTCACCCAGGCTGGAGTGCAATGGTGCAGTCTCGGCTCACTGCAACCTCGACTCCCAGGTTCAAGTGATTCTCCTGCCTCAGCCTCTCGAGTAGCTGGAATTACAGGTGCCTGCCACCACGCCCAGCTAATTTTTGTATTTTTAGTAGAAACAGTGTTTCGCCATGTTGGCCAGGCTGGTCTCAAACTCCTGATCTCAGGTGATCTACCTGCCTTGGCCTCTCAAAGTGCTGGGATTACAGGCGTGAGCCACCGCACCCAGCCTGCAGTTAAGAATTTCTAAATGGCACAAATTAACTCAGCTGTTCTCAGTGCAGACGTCAAATCCTCACTGTGCTGAAACACTTTTCTCAGCTTTTGGGAAATAATTACAATTTAAACATCCACAGAGAATGTTTCTTAGACAAACATAAGACAAACATACTCGAGGCTTATCTGGTAAAAAATAACTGCTCTGTCCTTCTTAGCACAAAAAAGACATATCTTTGTAAAATGAGAAGAACCAAAGAATATTTAAAACAAAACAGGAAGCCACATGTACTAATTACACAAGAGACTGACTGACAAATTGGAATTCTCCAAAACAGATTTTCAGTGAGGCTTCTCATTTCAGAGTCCAGGGAAAAAAAAATCCCAAAAACCCCAAAGGTTGTGTGTATACATATTTTTATTGTGTTAAAAAACACAAAACATAAAATTTACTGTCTTACCAAAAGGTATATTTTGTGGCTCTTCCCCCACTTTTTTTGTCCAAGACAGAGTCCAGTCTGTCGTCCAGGCTGAAGTGCAGTGGCATGATCTCGGCTCACTGCAACCTGCACCTTCTGGGCTCAAGCAATCCTCCCACCTCAGCCTCCTAAGTAGATGGAACTACAGGCATGTGCCACTAGGCCCGGCTAATTTTTGTGTTTTTTGCAGACGGGGTTTTACTATGTTGTCCAGGCTGGTCTTTGTTCTCTTAAGAGTTGCTTTCTCCATCAAAGTTGATAAATAACATTTAGAAAATGAATTATTTACTACAAGAGTAATGATATGTCTCAATTTATTATATGAAATTATCAACACTGCTTTTAATATTCAGATGTCAAGAAGATGAAAAGCAGAAATACATTTTGCAAACATGTGGCACTCCATAGGTGGAAATCATATATTTCCTCTAATATCCCAATTTTTCTGCCTAGTGTCTATATGGCTTTTGTCCCAACTTGCTGTACAAGAATTTTCCCCAGCCACCTTAGAAAGGCTGGACGTAGTTCACTCCAAATCCACAGTTCACTCCAAGTGTGTCAGTACCACAGAAAACTCCATGGAAGCCTCAAATGTACGGGCTAGGCAACAGAAGCAGGGAGGCAGGATTAAGAAATTACTGGCCAGGTGTGGTGGCTCAGGCCTGTAATCCCAGCACTTCAAGAGGCCAAGGCAGATAGATGGCTTGAGCTCAAGAGTTTGAGATCAGCCTGAGCAACATGGCAAAACCTTGTCTCTACAAAAAATATAAAAATCAGCCAGGTGTGTTGGTTTGCGCCTGTAGTCCCAGCTACTGGGGAGGCTGAGGCAGGAGCATTGCCTGAGCCCAGGAGGTTGAGGCTGCAGAGAGCCATGATTGTGCCACTGCATTCTAGCTTGGTTAACAGTAAGACAAAAAAAGAAAAAAAAAATTACCGATATAAAATGCTTACACAGCTAAAAAACATGTTCAATTCCATTTATAGTCTTTTCTTTGAGCCATTTACACATAGGGCTTTTTTTTTTTTTTGAGATGGAGTTTCACTCTTGTTGCCCAGATTGGAATGCAATGGCATGATCTCGACTCACTGCAACCTCTGCCTCCTGGGTTCAAGCGATTCTCCTGCCTCAGCCTCTCGAATAGCTGGGATTATAGGTATGTGCCACCATGCAGGGCTAATTTTGTATTTTTAGTAGAGACGGAGTTTCTCCATGTTGGTCAGGCTGGTCTTGAACTCCCAACCTCAGGTGATCCACCCGCCTTGGCCTCCCAAAGTGCTGGGATTACAGGCATAAGCCACTGCAATGGGCCGCAATTATTTTTTAACTCCATATAGTTTCTATAGTTCACTGAAAACTCAAAGAGATGACCTATAAATGTATGAATAATGTATGATTTCTTATACCGATTTTCTACTAGAAAAAAATCATACTTTTAGAATTGGATTTTGTCTTACAGTCATCTTTATTATACTTTATAAATGAGATTTCGTTTACATAAATCATCAGGAAGCTAAACTAAAATAGAAATGCTAGATTTAAATTCTAATTTGAATACTCTGATCAAAATAACAAATCTCACATTGGGAAACCATCTATCAGCAAGCAAAGAGCTACTACTGTGTGTCCTTCTTTAGAAGAATGAACACTGAGAACCCATAGCACATTTGTAGTACAGTAACAGCAATTCCTTTGTCATTATCACAGAACTTTAATTTTTATGTACTTTGCTGGGAATAACCAAACCAACCCATATATATATGTCCCACATATATATGGGATGGTGTATATATATATATAGAGAGAGAGAGAGACAGAGTCTTGCTCTGTCACCCAGGCTGGAGTGCAGTGGTGCTATCTCGGCCCATTGCAAGCTCCGCCTCCCAGGCTCAAGCAATTCTCATGTCTCAGCCTCCCAAGTAGCTGGGATTACAGGTGTGCACCACCACACCTGGCTAACCATCCCATACATTTCATACAATCATTTTTAAAAAGAAGCATGAACCATTTTGGTTTTAGAGAATTAAGTTTTTTTTAAAGAGCCACTTTTAAAAAAGTCATTATATGAATAAAATTTCTTTTGTGTTAATTCCGACAAATCATTCAATCATTGAATCAGTCACAGATTTTTTTGAAACGGAGTTTCGCTCTTGTTGCCCAGGCTGAAGTGCAATGGTACGATCTCGGCTCACCGCAACTTCCACCTCCTGGGTTCAAGCGATTCTCCTGCCTCAGCCTCCTGAGTAGCTGGGATTACAGGCACCCGCCACCACGCCTGGCTAATTTTGTATTATTAGTTGAGACGGAGTTTCTCTATGTTGGTCAGGCTGGTCTCGAACTCCTGACCTCAGGTAATCCACTGGCCTTGGCCTCCCAAAGTGCTGGGATTACAGGCATGAGCCACCACACCCGGTCCCAATTTTTTTTTTTTTTTTTTTTAGTAACTTGCACACTTAACCATATTTTTTATCTTCTTGGGATAACATTCTTTTCTCCACAAAAACCCAATTAAGGACGTTGTGCCAGTTTATTCTTACTTCCTTCCTGTTCACTGAGCTTAAAGTGGGTATAGGTGAGAATGCCAAATAATGTACATAAAATGCCAAGAGCCTGATTAATGGACAGTGGATCCTTAAATAAAACATATCCTCCAAATAAAGTAATGCAGAACTTGAAGTGTCCAAACATGTTATAGCTGAGGTTTTTGGATAAGGATAAAAAGGAAGAATAAGATAGATGGTATATTTACACACACACTCACGCTACATAAAACAACTCAAAAGCAGCCCACCCCATGCAAAGAACAATGGGACCAGGCGCGATGGATCATGCCTGTAATCCCTGCACTTTGGGAAGCTGAGGTGGTGGATCTCTTGATCCTGGGAATTTGAGACCAGCCTGGCCATCATGGTGAAACTCTGTCTCTACAAAAAATACAAAAATTAGCTGGGTGTGATGGCGCATGCCTTTAATCCCAGCTATTCAGGATCCTGAGGCAGGAGAATTGCTTGAACCCAGGAGGCGGAGGTTGCGGTGAGCTGAGATCGTACCATTGCACTCCAGCCTGGGCAACAAGAGAGAAACCCAGGAGGTGGAGGTCGCAGTGAGCCAAGAATGCACAACTGCACTCTAGTCTGGGCGACAGAACAAGACTGTCTAAAAAAAGAGAATAATGGGAACTTCTCAGTTTCTTCAGGTAGGTTTTAGCGATTGATTAATCAGACACAAGACTGCCTCAACCATTCCTACTGACCTCCAAAAAAGAAAAGGGATACAATATAAAAGGAAAGACATTCAGAACAAGGTCCAGGGAAGATATTTTGTATAGCAATTTATAATTATGTTTTATAGTGGTGTTTCATTGGGAAATGAAGTGAGAATAAGGTACCAGAGAGCTAACTTGAGTTTAGGAGGGAAAAGCGGGAGGGGGAGAGGGAGCAATACTGAGCACCAACTACACACCAAACACCATACTGGGCGATTTACATGAAATCTTCGAAGTTAGGCATCACGTTTACCTTCACTGCAGGCTCACTCTTCCTATTTACAGTTGTAGAGGCTCAGAGATTTTAAGTAACATGCCCCAGATTACAGAGCTAGTAAGTAGCAGAGTTGGAGTCCAAATACAAATGGGTCTATTTAACTCCAAAGCCCATGTTCTAATCCAAAATACTGCCAGTAACATGCTGCTGGATTAAGGTTTTTCCAAATCACTGTATATTTAAAAAGCAAACTAAATACACACACACACCCTTTAATAATTACCTGTGGCCACGCACGGTGGCTCACGCCTCTAATCCTAATCCCAGCACTTTGGGAGGCCAAGGTGGGTGGATCACCTGAGGTCAGGAGTTTGAGATCAGCCTGACCAACATGGAGAAACCCCATCTCTACTAATAATACAAAATTAGCCAGGCGTGGTGGTGCATGCCTGTAATCCCAGCTACTTGGGAGACAGGCAGGAGAATCGCTTGAACCCAAGAGGCGGAGGATGCAGTGAGCCGAGATCACGCCACTGCACTCCAGCCTGGGCAACAGAGTGAAATTCTGTCTCACACACACACACACACACACACATACACAATTACTTATATTTAAATATAATTATTTTTTCTATATAAATGAGTACTTTCTTGTTCTTGAGATGTATGATGTGTGCCTATGTGCTTTTCCTAATTACAACACTAGAAATAGCTACCACTCTGTGCCTCAGTTTCCTCACTATATAAAAGGGGAACAAAACAATACCTCCCAGGGTTATTGTAAGGATCAAATAATATACACAAAGCTTCTAGCATATAGTAAGCACCACATGTGCTAGCTATAATAATAGTTACCAATAGCAGTACCTATGTGTCGTAAACACCTGCTTGGAGCTTGACACATTCTCTCAAAATACAACCACCCAACATCATAGATCCCAGTTGCTCCACTTCATACATTTCATAAGCGATCAGAGTGAGACCCTGAGAGTTCCCACACTAGTCAGGCCCACAGGTAGTGGCAGAGCTTGGTGTTCACACCTGGACCTGTCTGACCCCCAAGCCCACCTAAGCAGCCTGGAGGTTCCTGCTGGGCAGCAGCAGTGCCTCGGGAGAGCACGGGCCGTGTCCCCAGGTGCATGTGGTGGCTTGATCCCATGGAGGTGACTTCTGAGACACAGAGGATCTTCCCAAGGTTACTGGCAATAATCATAATAAAATATGTTTTATTTTCAATTATGAGCTATCTTCATGTGCACTGGCTCTAACACTTTAAATTTCTTTACTCCTAGGCTTCTCTTTTAAGCATATTTATACTAGAAGGAAGTCAAATTTAAAGAAAGTATTCATGAATCCTTTTGTAAAAACAGCAACAAAAAAGAGCAGTCTACATGTGGTATTTCCAGTTCTGCACTTTACTCCAGGCAGGCTGTCACCCCAACCTTCAGAATGTTCTGGTCAAACCCAGTGCCCTCCACCTCACTCAGCCCCTCATTGGTGACCAGTCTCCTTGAACTTGGCCTGCCAGCAGCATCTGACACAGACACCGACCACTCCTCCTCCTCCTCACTCTGGTTCTGTGCCACCCTCCTCCTTCCTTCCACCTCTAACTGCTCCTTCTCATCCTCCAGCTAGTTCCTCTCATCTCTCTGGATTCCAAATACTGGACTCAAACCCAACACTCAGTCTTTGGACTTATTTTCTTCTACTTGTTTGCTTGGTAATCTCAACCAGTCTCAACACTTTAAACCACAGCTTCATACTTCTGACTCCCTGTGATGCCTCCTGCTGAGACGTCACCTTTGAACTCTGACTTATTTATCCAAAACTGAGCACCTGGCTGGGCTCACACCTGTAATCCTAGCACTTTGGAAGGCTGAGGTGGGAAGAATGCTTGAACCCAACAGTTCGAGTTTGCAGTGAACCATGATTGTGCCACTTCACTCCAGCTTGGGTGAAGAGCAAGACCCTGTCTCAAAAACAAGAACAAAAAAATACTCCCCAAACTAAGCACCTGATCTTCCTCCCCAGCCCTAAACCTCCTTCTGGCTATCCTACCTCAGTTGATGGCAACTCTACTCTACCAGGTGCTCAGGTCAAAAACCATGTAAATCAGCCTTGTTTTCTCTTTCTCCACATCCAACTAGGCAGCAAAACCTGTTGGCTCTTCTTAGAAATATATCCAGAATCCAATCACTTCTCACTATATCCACTGCTACCATACTGGTAGCCACTATGACTTGTACATTAGAATATTGCAGCAGTCTCCTGACAGTTTCCTGTGCCTCTTACAGTCCAGTAGTTCTCAACCAAGGGTGATTCTGCTTTGTGGGCAATCTTCGGAGGCATTTTTGGTTGTCACAATTGGGCAAAGGGTATGTATGCTACTGGCATCTGGTGGTAGAGCCCAGGCCTGCTGAAAACATCCTACAGTGTACTAAACAGGCCTGCACTAAGAACCGTCCAGCCCAGAAAGTCAACAGCCCAGAGGTTGAGAAATTCTTCTTTAGTCTATTCTCAACACAGGAGCCCTGAGTGATTCTGTGATTTATTTTTAAAAACTTTTTGTAGCGACAGGGTCTTACTGTGTTGCCCAGACTGGTCTCGAACTCCTGGGCTCAAGGCATCCTCCTGTCTTGGCCTTCTAAAGTGTTGGAATGACAGGCGTGAGCCACTGCGCCCGGCCCACTGAGTGCTTCTATTAGAATGTATGTAAAATCATGTCGCTTCTCTGCTCAAAATGCTAATGACTTCCCATCTTACTCAGTGGAACAGTCCTTACATAAACGCCCTACTCAATTCAGTTCTGTGTTACTTCTCAGCCTACCACATTCCCTCCTTTGCTCAACCTGCTCCAACCACACAGGCTTCCTTGGTTTTTTTAGGGCCTCGCACCTGCTGTTGCCTCGGCTTGCAATATTCTTCCCTCCTGATCTGCATGGAGCAACCGCATTTCCTTCAGGTCTTTACTCAAATGTCATCTTCCCACTGAGGCCTTCCTGACTAGCCCTGCCTAGAACTTCAGTGCTGTCTATGACATTTCACATTCTCTTCCCTGCCTTATTTTTACTCCTTGGCAGTTAACACTATCCCACACTGTATATAAATATTTAATTGTTTTCTATTTCTAATCTTCCTCACCAGAATTCAAGCCTGTGAGAGCAAAGACTTCTGTCTATGTCGTTCATTACTGTATCCCCGGTGCCTGGCACATAGTAGATGTTCAGTATATAAATATTTTTATATCAATGGTTTAGTGGGTATTCAATACTTACTGAATAAATTAATGTTTTAAATCAGAGCACACATTTGGATGTCTTGATTGGGTAGCATGATGTACAAATTTTGGGACTAGACTGCATGGGTTCAAATCTGGACATCCCATTTGTCAGCTGTGTGGCCTTAAGTGAGCTAGCTAACCTCTCTGTGCCTCTATTTCTTCTATAAACTAAAATGACAGACTCCACCTCACAGAGCTGCTGTGAGAATTAAATGGACTAATACATACAAAATATTTCTGACAGTATCTGACACAAAATAAATATTTGTTAAGTATTGGTTTTCTAAAAAACTTATCGTCATTGTTTTTTATTGATAGTTGGCAAATATCCTACTTATTTACTTCCTGGGGAAATTCATTCTCTGCATTTGCCTAAGGGTGGGGGCAGAGTGAAATGTGAAGAGAAACAGAATGACAAGCAGAATGGTATAAATGGACAGTTGAATTTGACCTTTAACATATAACTTCATTTCTTTTTTTTTTTTGGTAGAGATAGGGTCTCCCTATGTTTCCCAGGCTGGTCTTGCCCTCCTGGGCTCAAGTGATCCTCCTGCCTCGGCCTCCCAGTGTTGGAATTATAGGTGTGAGCCATAGTGCCCGGCCAATGACTTCATTACTTGACTTGAAATAATATTGAGAAAAACAGGCACACCCATATCCAAATAAGTACAAACACATACTCCATAGCCAGATGCCAGTGGCCTGAAATTATCTTTTGTTATTTGTTAACCATTCCTTTACTTTGTTACTATAAATACCTGAACATGGTTTGAAAATCCAAACCTCCACCTCATTATTCATTCAAAAAATATTTATTCTCACTGTCTGTAAGAAATGGTACTCTGAATTAATTTTTGTAAGAGAAAAGGTCATCTATTACATAAGAAAATTCAAAAACATTCATGACACAAAAAGCTAACCCATTTCCTCAGTTCATATTTCTTTCTTTTTCTTTTTTTTTGAGTCTTGCTCTGTTGCCCAGGCTGGAGTACAGTGGCACAATCTTGGCTCTCTTTAACCTGCGACTCCCCAGTTCAAGCAATTCTTGTGCCTCACCCTCCTGAGTAGCTGGGATTACAGGCGTGCACCACCTTACCCAGCTAATTTATATATTTTTTGTAGAGACAGGGTTTCACCATGTTATCCAGGCTGGTCTTGAACTCCTGGCCTTAAGTGATCCACCTGCCTTAGCCTCCTGAAGTGTTGGGATTACAGGTGTGAGCCACCACACTCACCCCTTCAGTCATATTTCTTTAAAATCCTATTGTGTGTAAAGATACAGTAAAAGGCTAAAAATAACTCTCTCTACTCAATGTAGGCCGTGCAATAGTGTGAGATTCAAATAAGGTAATGAATGTGAAAGTTTTGGAGAATATAAAAGATGATGCATTTGTAAGTTGTATGAAAAGGATACGTGACAGGTGAAGTGTTCCCAATGATCCAATAAATTGATAAGTTCACCATGAAAGCTATTACTCCAGATAGCAGCACCATAAGCTACAAATAAAACAAAAGAACCATTAATGCAAAGCAATCCAATCATTATAGTCATCAAGCAAAGATACATTTCATTCGACATTTTAAAAAATTCAAATATCAACCATTAATCAATAAGATTAGAAAGAGAATTTGGGAGACAGTAAGAATTGCAAGTGAAAAGGCAGAATGAACAGTGTTTAGAAAAAAATGTAATTTTTTCCACAAGAATCAATGAAAAATACTGCAATAACATCCTTTCTGTGATTGTGAATTTCCAGGTTAATTTTTCTTATTAATCTAAAGAAAAGTATACATATGCATTATTATTATTATAAATCAGACAATAAAGAAAAGCAGAAAGAATATAAGGAATTCTTATAATCCCAACCATCCACACATTAACATCTTAATTGCTCTTTTTTTTTTTTTTAAATGGAGTCTCACTCTGTCACCCAGTCTGGAGTGCAGTGGTGCAATCTCGACTCACTGCAACCTCCGCCTCCCAGGTTCAAGTAATTCTTCTGCCTCAGCCTCCCCAGTAGCTGGGATTACAGGCCCATGCCCCCACACCCAGCTACTTTTTTTTGTATTTTTTGATAGAGATGGGGTTTTACCATGTTGGCTAGGCTGGTCTCGAACTCCTGACCTCAGGTGATCTGCATGCCTTGGCCTCCCAAAAGTGCTGGGATTACAGGCCTGAGCCACTGCACCTGGCCTCATTTTTATTTTTATGTAACTCAATAAGCATTCATTGGATATCTACAAAGATAGGCCAGGCCTTGTGAGGAATGCAATATGTACAAAGTTCCTGCCTTCAAAGAGCTTAGAAACTACTTGAGGACATAATAAAAATCACGATGATCACAGCTTACACTTACATAACACTTATTATGCACCAATAATTGTTCTGTTTTACATGTATTCACTCATTTAATTTTCACGTACATCCACAAAGTAGATGTAAAAATATTATTCCTTTTTATAGATAACTTGGCTGGAAACAGGGGGACAAATGGGTTGGAACACTATATACACATACAATGTTGTGTTCAAATCTATCCCATAATTTTATCCAACAAGTTACAGAATCATTTTGTTTCTGAATTTAGATAAAATAATATCCATGATCTAAACTATTAAGAAGTTTAAGTTCCGAAGAAAACATAAAAATATTATTCCTTTTTATAGATAACTTGGCTGGAAACAGGGGGACAAATGGGTTGGAACACTATATACACATACAATGTTCTGTTCAAATCTATCCCATAATTTTATCCAACAAGTTATAGAATCATTTTGTTTCTGAATTTAGATAAAATAATATCCATGATCTAAACTATTAAGAAGTTTAAGTTCCGAAGAAAACATGTCATATTTGAAGATGCTTTTTGTCTTATGTAGGGTTTTGTTATTTCGTTTTGTTTTTTGTAAAGACAGGTTTTTACCATGTTGCCCAGGCTGGTCTCAAACACCTGGGCTCAAGCGATCCTCCCATCTTGGCCTCCCAAAGTGTTGGGATTATAGGCATGAGCCACTGTGCCCAGCCCCATGTAGGTTTTATCAGTGTTAAAATCAGTGCAGTCTTAAGAAGACCAGAGGAATTGGATTTGTGTCCTACTTAGGTAAATATAGTAATACCTCATTTAATTTACAATAGTGAGGTCTATTAAATAGCCAACATAGAGAAATTTGCTTAGAGATTTTAAAAAGAGTTTCTAGAAATATATCTAAAATATATCATTGCTAATTTTATTGAGTTCACAGAATGCTGCATACCTATTTCTTGATACTTGGCACATCACATCACTAAAAACACAATTACTCTTTGTTAGGGACTTTGAAGAATATAAAGTAGTTCCATGTTGAAGAGGAGTGGTAAGAGTGGGCATCCTTGTCTTGTTCCAGTTCTCAAATGGAATGCTTTCAACTTTTCCCCATTCAGTATTATATTGACTGTGGGTTTGTCATAGATGGCTCTTATTACATTAAGGTATGTTCTTTGTATGCCGATTTTGCTGAGGGTTTTAATCATAAAGCGATGCTGGATTTTGTCAAATGCTCTTTCTGCATCTATTGAGATGATCATGTGATTATTTATTTATTATTTATTTATGTATTTATTTATTTTGGAGTCTTGATCTGTCACCCAGGCTGGAGTGCAGTGGCATGATCTCAGCTCACTGTAAGCTCCGCCTTGCGTGTTCACGCCATTCTCCTGCCTCAGCCTCCCGAGTAGCTGGGACTACAGGTGCCCGCCACCACGCCTGGCTAATTTTGTTTTTGTATTTTTAGTAGAGAAGGGGTTTCACCGTGTTAGCCAGGATGGTCTCGGCTAGTCTTGATCTCCTGACCTCGTGATCTGCCCGCCTCAGCCTCCCAAAGTGCTGGGATTACAGGCGTGAGCCACCACACCTGGCTGATCATGTGATTTTTGTTTTTAATTCTGTTTATGTAGTGTATCACATTTATTGACTTTAGTATGTTAAACCATCCTTGCATCCCTGGTATGAAACCCGCTTGATCATGGTGGATTATCTTTTTGATATGTGACTGGATTCAGTTAGCTAGCATTTTGTTAAATTTTAGCATCTATGTTCATCAAGGATATTGGTCTTCAGTTTTCTTTTTTGGTTGTGTCCTTTCCTGGTTTTGGTATTAGAGTAATGCTGGCTTTATATGCAAAAAAAAAAAGTTAGTTGACACAATGCTCTACTTTGAGTCAAGGACGCCTCCTAGGGACATTAAGGAATGAAGATGACTTTCCCTTACACTAAATGGCCTCAGCCTTCTGTGGTCTTGGTTTCTTTGACTTTTTTTTTTTTTTAAATGGCTTTTCTGCTGCTGTCCTCATTTTACAACCTGTTAGAAGGTGACCAAAAAAATCCTCTCTCCTTGTAGCATAAGGTCTTCAGGATGCAATGGTTTGAAACCAGATAACCAGGATGGCTATTTTGTAAAGTAAGTGGAAGTATTATCTGACAGATGGTCCAATGACTTCTACTTTAGAAAAAAACTGTATATGCTAAAATATATAAATTTGAAACCACTACTGGTCTACTTAACAGGAAGCAGGGCGGAGCACTGGAGAATACAGACTTTGGACCCAGAAGGCATGGATCCAAATTGTGGCTCTGCTTATTAGCTGTGGGATTGCGAGCCAGTTACTAACTCTCTATCTCTTGGTTTCCTTATCAGTAAAAATAATAACAATAGTGATATAGTTTGGATGTCTGTTCCCTCCAAATCTCATGTTGAAATTTGATCACCAATGTTGGAGGTGAGGCCTAGTAGAAGGTGTTTGGGTTATGGGGGTGGATCCCTCATGAATGGCTTGGTGCCCTCCCCAGGGGTAATGAGTTCTTGCTCTATTAGTTCTCATGAAGGCTAGTTGTTTAAAAGACACTGGCATCTCCTCCCCTCTCCCTCTTGCTCCCTCTCTCGCCATGTGACATGCCTGCTTCCCCTTCGCCTTCCACCGTGATTGTAAGCTTCCTGAGGCCCTCACTAGAAGCAGATACCAGCACTAATGCTTCTTGTACTGTCTGCAGAATGATAAGCCAAAATAAACCTCTTTTCTTTATAAATTACTCAGTCTCAGGTATTCTTTTATAACATCATAAAATGGACTAATACAAATAGTATTAGTATAGCATCAACCTAATAAAGTTATGAAAATTAAATAAGTTAATATTTACACAGTGCTTTGAATAGTGCCGGGAAGAGAAGAGGGGCTATATAGGTGCTTGATAAATTGATGCGACCAACAAAAAAGACATTCCCACTAACTGTGTTCCAAGAGTTGTGGGAACTCTTGTCGGAAGCAGGAATTCCTGATAAGTAAGGTGTTATGGACTGAATGTTTGTGTCCCCCCAAAATTCCTACGTTGAAATCCTCACCCGCAGTGTGATGGTATTGGGAGGTGGGGCCTTTGGGAGGTGACTATGGCATAAGGGTAGAGCCTTCATGATTGGGATTAGTCCCTATGATAAGAAGAGATACGAGAGAGCTTGCTTCTCCTCTTCCTTGTTGTCAGATGAGCATACGGCAAGAAGAATGCCATCTATAAAGCAAGAAAAGGGCCTTTACCAAGAACCCAACCATACCGGCAGCCTGATCTCAGACTTCCAGACTTCAGAACTGTGAGAACCGAGTATCTGTTGTTTAAGCCACCCAGTCCATTGTAGTTTTGTTATAGCAGCCTGAACTGAGACATAGGAGGATTATACATTCTAACTTAAAATGTCCCCAAAGTATTAGTCCCAGCTGTGCGGGAGGCTGAGGTTGGGAGATCACTTGAGCTCAGGAGCTTGAGGCCAGGCTAGGCAATATAGCCAGACCCTGTCTCTAAAAAATAAAAGTCCCCAAAATACATATGTCCTTGATTTGCCAATTCCACTCCTGGGACTCATTTCCATAGGAAAAAAGGTATCAGTACATGAGGACACATGATGTACAAGGATGTTTATCACAGTATTGTTCATAGTGGTAAAGAACTGGAAAAAAGTGAATATGCAAAGGGGCTATTATACTGACACTGGCTGGGCACGGTGGCTCATGTCTGTAATCCCAGCACTTTGGGAGGCCCAGGTGGGTGGATCACTTGAGGTCAGGAGGTTAAGACCAGCCTGGCCAACATGGTGAAACCCCATCTCTACCAAAAATACAAAAAAATTAGCCAGGTGTGGTGGCTCACACCTGTAATTCCAGCTACTTGGGAGGCTGAGGCACAAGAATCACTTGAACCCAGGAGGTGGAGGTTGCATTGAACAGAGATCATGCCACTGCACTACAGAGTGAGACTCCGTCTCAAAACAAAACAACAACAAAACATACAGACACTGAAAAGAATGCTTTAGAGAGATTTTTAGGAGATATTATTAAGTCAGAAAAGCAAGATACAGAAAAGCATATGTGATAGGATTCTACTTTTGTCAAAGAAACAGATGTGGCTAGGTGCGGTGGCTCATGCCTGTAATCCTAGCACTTTGGGAGGCTGAGGCGGGAGGACCTGAGATAAAGAGATTGAAACCCCGTCTCTATTAAAAATACAAAAATTAGCTGGGCATGGTGGTGTGCGCCTGCAGTCCCAGCTACTCGGGGGTCTGAGGCAGGAGAATTGCTTGAACCTGGGAGGTGGAGGTTGCAGTGAGCCAAGAATTGCACCACTGCACTCCAGTCTGGGTGACAGAGTGAGACGCCATCTCAAAAGAAAAAAAAAAAAAAGAAATAGATGTTTAATTGGGGTGTGTGTGTGTGTGTGTGTTTATATGGATATATATGGCATGGAGAAAAATATGGAAGAACAAGTACTTAGAATATTAACATGACTTCAAGGGACATGGATTAGGGAGTAATGGAATGTGGAAGAGTATATGGCTAGGAAGGCTGGGGAAGAGGAATCCACAATAAAAACAGCATCTATGATATCATTCCATATCTAAAATTATACACACATGCATGTGTACCTATGTGTTTATACAAAAGAGATCCATGAAATGATGCTCACCAAAATGGTAACGGTAATTACCTTAGTGTGATAGCGTTCCAGGGGCCCTTCACTTTCTTTTGTTGTTGTTTTGGTTTGGTTTTCTTTTGAGACAGGGTCTCCCTCTGTTGCCCAGGCTGAAATGCAGTGGTGCTATCTTGGCTCACTGCAGCCTCGACCTCCTGGGCTCAAGTGATCCTCCCACCCCAGCCTCCCAAGTAGCTGGGACCATAGGCATGTGCTACCATGCCTGGCTAATTTTTTGATTTTTTTTTGAGACAGAATCTTGCTCTGTGGCCCAGGCTGGAGTGCAGTGGCACGATCTTGGCTCATTGCAACCTCCACCTCCCAGGTTCAAGCAATTCTCGTGCCTCAGCCTCTTGAGTAGCCTGCCTTGGTCTCCCAAAGTGCTGGGATTATAGGCTTGAGCCACCGCACCCAGCCTCAGCTAATCTTTTTGTATTTTTAGTAGAGACCAGATTTCGCTATGTTGGCCAGGCTGGTCTTGAACTCCTGAGCTCAAGTGATCCATCCGCCTCAGCTTTCCAAAGTCCCGGGATTACAGGCATGAGCCATCACACCCAGTCAATTTTTAAATTTTTTTGTAGAGATGAGGTCTTCCTATGTTGCCCAGGTTGGTTTAAAACTCCTGAGCGTAAACGATCTGCCCACCTCATCCTCCCAAAGTGCTGGGATTACAGGAGTGAGCCACTGTGCCTGGCCCCTTCACTTTCTTTATATTTTTGCATGTGTTCAAAATCGACATAGTGATTATAAAGCTATGTTTTCACTGTAAAAAAAGTTTAACTTAACCTAAATGTCCAAATTATTTGTGGGCTCTAGCTTGACATGGTCAGTACAGTAACCAGGCATCGGAAGACATTAATTGTAGTTCTGCTTTTGCCACTAAGTAGCTGCCTCACTCTAGGCAAGTACCTTCACCTTTGTGTGCCTCAATTTCTTCATCTGAAAAAGAATCCTTACCTTACCTCCTTATATGGTGATTACGAAGATAAATGTGAGAATGGATCGGACATAGTGCTCTGAAAACTAAAAATTATATTAATAATGGAGGAGTTGTTATTTTACTGTTTCTTAGATATCAAAACAATTAGAACTTACCAAAGCAGAAACTGACCAGGGACCAAATATTCCTCCTTCTCCAAACACCGGCTCAAAGAAGGGCACAGCGACCAGCAACATGGCAGATGACATCGGAGCCTGGTAGTACAGCAGTTGCATTGAGTTCACTTGTAATTCATGCTGTTTGGCTCCTACCCACTGAAAATTAGGAGATAAAACATGTCTGGCACAAAAGAAATAGTATCACTTAATCAAAGATGCAACAACTAGAGTCACAAAGATGGGAATGTGGGGTATAGACTAGGAGAAGATAAAATGTCTATTATTCTACAGGATTTCAAAGAGACCAGTAAGCTATATGAATGCCCTTTAAGCACCATGGATGAAAATAGCTCTATAAATTTAATTTCCGATAATCTAGCTTCTTCTCAATTCTTAGAAGGGGGAGAAAAGTCCTCTATTTCCTTCTACCTGATCCTAGTAAACAGGGAAAAATAAACGCACATGAGGGCCTACAAGGATAAAAGATCTTGGGAAAATAAGCGAAAAATGGAAATTCAGGTGATTAGGAATACAGATGCAGTGTTGGACTTCATTTCTTTCTAAAAATGGCAAAAATTTAAAAATGGAAGACAGGGGCCAGGAGCAGTGGCTGACACCTGTAATCCCAGCATTTTGGGAGGCTGAGGCAGGCAGATAACCTGAGGTCAGGAGTTCGAGACCAGCCTGGCCAATATGGTGAAACCCTATCTCTACTAAAAATACAATTAGCCAGGTATGGTGGTGCACGCCTGTGGTCCCAGCTACTCGGGAGGCTGAGCAGGAGAACCAAGGAGGCAGAGGTTGCAGTGAGCCGAGATTGCGCCACCGCACTCCAGCCTGGGTGATAGAGCAAGACTCTGTCTAAAAAAAAACAAAGGAAGACAGAGGTTGGGGGGACAGGATGACAATGGGGCATGGGGCAGGTTAGAGATGGCTGCCAATGTGTGTGGCTTGAAAAGGTATGTGGTCTTGTCAGTTGCTTTGGAGAACCCAATCAATGGTAGAAGACACTGTCCTCTCTCTGGATGACTTTTCTGTGGATACTATTCCTCATCCCCCACCAATACACCTAGATACATTGGATAATCACTAACCCTAAAATACCGTACCATTCAGTAGAAACAACATCTCAAGACCTCAAATCCCATTTGTCCACAAAATGCTTCACAAATATAACTGAAAAAGAGGCTCTGAAGAAGCTCTAACAGGACTGTTTGGATCACATCTGGCAAGAACAGCTAGGCTTTTGAATGACTTCTACATACGTCTTGTTCCTGTAGGTCTGGGTATCTTGTTACATAAACTCTAAGTCTATAGAAATTCATCAAGACAAAAATAGAAGAGCAGGGAATTTGAACCATATTCCTGCCAGCTTTAACTAAGAGTTCTCTGTGAATGCGAAGGACAAAGAACTGATTCTTCTAAGCTGCCTGCTCCTCGGGGCACAGCAACGAGCAAAAATGGATACAGAGGGTGTGTGCTCACCCCACTTTCCTTTCGCAGCCTCTCCATGCAGCTGTGTGTCGTGGCCACAGGACTGCCTGGAACAGCAGGGGCTCTCAAGCCTCCACTGTTCCTCAATGCAGCACAGCCTGGCTCCTGCCACCACCCCTCCAATGCTCTCCTAAGGGCACCATGACCTCCATGGCCATGTCCAGACTCCCTGTGGCCCTTCCTGCGAGCCCTCTTTGCAGAACCTGCAAATTTTGCTTGGAAGAACTACCCTCCGGTTTACACTCCTCCCTCACTGCCTCCTGCACTTAGTTTTTAAGGCAGATGTCTGCCTTCCTCTTTATCGCCCTGACTGATGTCTTTTACTATTTGCTGAGATCTACTGTTCTTCCCTCATCCCTTAAGCATCCTTAACCTTGTATTAGCCAGTCTCCTGGCCATCTCTACTTATATAATCTGCAGGAACTTGTTTAAAATCAACTGGTGCCTTTCTTCCACAAATGGGCTCCTCTTGCGTGGTTCCAATAATTGATGATATAATCCCCCTCAGGGATCAAAGCCTTACTTTCTTCACTCTCACATTCAATCAGGTTCTCCCATGTGTTCCCCAAAAGGCCCCTGGAGTGCCTTTTAACTTTTCCCTGTCCATTCCCACTGCCCTAGCCCAGGCCCTTCCTGCTTGTCCTGTGAAGCACAGGTAGGTTCCTGACTGCTCTGCCTTTCACCCTTCCTTCCCTTTTACCCACCCTTCCTTGCCATCAGTTGCTTTTCTAAAGGGGAACGATCAAGTCAGTCCCTGTCTGAACCCCTCTCCTGGTGCGTGCTCAATAAAGACACACTTCCTTAGTATGCCTTCACGACCCTGACATCTGACTGCCTAGCCTCACCAAACAAATCAAGTTCTCCGAAACTGCTCCAGACTTTCACGCACACTGCAAGGAAAAGACCAGCTGTCCTTTACTGCTGAGCTCATTTCTGTGTGCCCTTCCATTTAAATTGTTAACTTTTCCGTAAAGTCTTACCTCACCGCCCCTCTTTTAGAGCTGCCACTCCCTCCTTGGTGTTCCTCAGAACTTTCCTCCTACCTTGGGGTACATATGCTATTGTGACCAGCTGTCTCCATGTGTTTCTACACTGCTGGACTGTAGCTGCTTTTCATCTTTGTATCCTCAACGGTGAACATAATGCGGAAAAGATGTCTGCTGAATGAATGAGTGAGCCAACCATCTTTCTACAACTCAAGCTAATAGCTGGTCACTTGTCTTTTAACTCCTTTTAATGTCTCCAGCAGTATAAGAGAAACAACATAGAAATTATGCCAAGATACAGTGGGCAGATACAACTTTAAGAGGAATGTTTTGGGAATATACCTATTTTGTAATAATACCTTTACCATTTACTGATAAGAAACCGTCCATTAATCTACAATCATTCCTTGGTCAATCTCATTTCAAATATCTACCTTAGGGATATAGAACCTTTGATTCTAATCTATAGCAATTTTGAGACTTGTGTGAACAAAAATGGTCATAGTGACAGAGATGGTGAGTACTCTGAATCCATTACATATAAGGAGTACAATTTCTTGCTCTGCTTAATAGCCTATATACTAGGCAAAAACAAGTGCATTTAACAAGAAAGATGAATAGGAATGTTCACTAGCCTCTTCTTTTATTTAAACTGCTTCTCTGTCACTAGAAAATGTATTTCACTGCAGAATATTTTCAAACACCGTCTCTGACATGATCACTACTAGAATGTTTAAGATGCCAGGGCTCTATTACTGAACTCCTAACATTTCTAACAGGAATGCCTTAGTTTAATAACCAGTGGATGTTTGTGAAAAAAGTAAAACTGGTTACACATTTTGACTTTGATTTCCATATAGGCACACACAGAATTTCCAGACCAAGGTTTTCAGTATAGAGAGAATACCGTTTCACTGTCCCCTACAGCAAGTTATTTTTTCTCCACTACATAAGAAACAAAAACCATACTTGTTAGGTTTTATGGTAATGAAGTAACTGAATCCATGAACACATTTTTAATGAATGTCTGCTATAGGCAAGGCACTGTGCTTGCACAAATGGTAAAATATTCATTGATATAAATTACTCTTATATTAATACAATAATAATCTATATTAGACAAATTATTAAAAGCCAATAAACAAGTACAACAGCAGTATAATTTTTGAGGCAAAAAAATCTAAAAATCTGAAATTTTTCTTTACTGTTCAGATTTCTGGAAGTATACTCACTCCTTCACAACAATGTTAAAAGTAAAGAGTACATAAAAAACATAAATAAACTTAGGAAGTATAAAGTCTTACTACATATTTTGTAAAGATTTCCCAGAAAATAACTTCACCCCAAGCTGAGACTGTTAAGCATGGATATTATACACTTACAAACAGGTAGGTATTTGGTCAGCATCACACACCCAAGTTTCTCTGTCTCCTTTCTTCTCTTCACTTTGAGTCAACTTAAGCAATTACGCTTTCTTCCCAACAGTCTATTGTCTCTATACTGTATTTTCTAAACCTTGGAATACAGCTTCAAAATTTATGAAATCTGCTAAAAAGGCACATAAAAAAAAAAATTACCAACCACTTGATAAAGGGATGTAACTAAAACACCAAGAGCAGCAAACACCATTCCAAGGAAATTAAACTTCACATCGTAATAAGAATTTAGGATTACACCTAAAGTTATAGGAATCTGTAACGAAAAAGAGGTAAATGTTGTTCAGATTAAATTCAAGAGACAAAAATTTAGTATTCCTTTCACAATGTCTTACAAGGCTAATGATAAACACATAACTGGGAAACAATGAACCTGTATAAAAGTTTTCTTTTTTCACTTGGGAAAACTGGTTGTTAATCCTATTTCCTAAACGTGAAATACGATAAATCTATATTGATATTCACATTTAATTCTATTTTAAATTTGTGGTAAATAAATTGCACTTTGCAAGAAAATACCACATGAATACAAAGGTGAGTAAATGGATCCCCGAAATAGTGTCTAAACAGCATAAGCATAAATATAAAACAATAAAAGCATAAAAACTTTAAATATAAGGCCGGGCACGGTGGCTCACACCTGTAACCCCAGAGCTTTCGGAGGCCAAGGCGTGCAGATCACCTGAGGTCGGAGTTTGAGACTAGCCTGACTAACATGGAGAAAACCCGTCTCTACTACAAAGTTAGCCGGGCGTGGTGGCGCATGCCTGTAATCCCAGCTACTTGGGAGGCAAAGGCAGGAGAATCGCTTGAACGCGGGAGGCCGAGGTTGCGGTGAGCCGAGATCGCGCCATTGCACTCCAGCCCAGGCCACAAGAGTGAAACTCCGTCTCAAAAACAAAAACAAAAAAAAACAAAAAAAAAGAAAGAAAAAGGAAGAAGACCTTAAATATACTAAGTTACTAAGTGCTAAAATTGAGTCCACCTCCTTTTATTTAAAGTTGCAGACAGCTCTGCAGTATGGTGCTGCAGACATTTTGAGACCTACTTTATGCTAAATCTCTTCACATTTTATCATACACGATTTGATTCCCCTAGGGGAGAAAGGCTGTTTTTCAGTTTGAGCTTTTGCAGATACTCTGATAACACTGGACTGTACCACACAATAGTTTTTCTTATCGATCACAGCATTTAACGATTTCCATCAAATGGCAGCTACTAAAACTCACACAAGCCCACTCTTCTGGGTTGACAAGATGGCGTTTTCCCCCTCCCCAAAATAAGCCTGAAACTTCACTGGCTCACAGATGACTCATTTGTGGATTTCAAGATGAAGGGAAAGACCAGTGTGCGTTCGAATTTCCCGGGGCCAGTGCAGGAGGTGGGTCGGGAGAGCCGCGCCTTGGCAAGCTGAAGCTACTCACCAACGTGAGCTGGATTCTGGTGGAGAAGGTTTTCTGGTAGCAGAAGGTCTGGATGGCTATGATCACCGGCGTGGTCATGGCCTTAGCCAGCTGATAGGTGCCTATAGTGTTGTTCTGCAAGGAAAGATTAGTGAAGACCACAAAGCCACAGAAGCTGAGGGCCAAGAGGAGGAGCTTGGAGGGCGGCAGACTTTTGGGGGCAAAGATGTCCAGCTTCTGGCAGATATACAAGCCCAGCCAGGTGACTACGAAGTGCACCAGGGTCAGGCTCATGTTGGGGAAGCCGTGGTGCACATAAATCCATTTGTTGAGGAACACAATGCAGATGGACACCAGCAGGTTGAACAGGAGCCCGGCGGCGATTCGCCCGTGGCCCCGCATTCGGTCCACCAGCGATGCCATGATCCCCGCGAAGCCGGGGCCGTTTAGCCTCCGAAGGGGCGCCCGGCCTGTCTCCGGTTGCCCTTCTCCTCCACCGCCGCGTCCTCGCAGACGCCGACCTCACCGTCTGACCCAGGAGTGGCATGCACAGATCAACCCTGGGCGAGCAGCACTCTTAACAGACGACACACGCCCCGCCGCCGCCCTGTAAGCCAGCGAGGACGCGGCAGCACGGCCCACGCCCCGCCCATCTCCGCCTGCGGCCACGTGACCCGGGGCTCCGGTGCCTCCGCCCCGGAGCCGCGGGCTGAACGGCCGCTACCCTGCGCAGGCGCGCTGAGCCCTGGGCGCGCAACGCTCGCGTCTTTGTGTCCTGTCCTCTGGGTCCCCAGCCCCCTTGGTCACCTAACGCCTACCTGACTAGACCAATCTAGGACCCCTTTCTTGATGTTTGTTTCCCGTGTGTCACTGACCCGATTTGCTAGACAACGTCTCTCTGGCTGTGCAGACACTGTTAGCCAATTTTACCTATTAAATGCTGAGCAAATTTAGCCCTCGCCAGAGGGGGAAAGAACTTATCGAAAGCATATTTTTATTTTTTGTTTTTCGAGAAAGACATTCAAAATCTACTTTCCAACAGACAGCATCATCGGGTATAACTACAAGGGTTTCTCCTTAGATCATACATTCACAAAGCATTATTAGCTCAACAGTGAGAAAATGTGTTCTCTAAAGATGTCCCCTTGACAATGTAAACAAGTGCTATTGTGTTCAATTACAACTCGAGAAAAAAACGCACAACTTGCCAAAACTGTATACAGCTGTCTCTAGGGGTGTGTGTGTGTGTGTGTGTGTGTGTGTGTGTGTATATATGTATGTATGTTTTGGATCCTAAAGTCAGGTGCAATGACTAAGAGTTACAACTTTGAGTAACAGTCTTGATCGACATTGCAGTAAGGTCCTTCACACAGAAGTCAGGTTCTTCCTTTCTCCTTCTTCCTCAAGTCAACAGAGCAAGATTATATATTGTAGATATTACAGGTACAAAAGGGGATTTTTAAAAAAGGAATCACAAAAATATCTTGAATGTCCAGCTGTTCCTACCAATACATCAATTCTTAGTTTTAAGATAGAGTCTAGGATTAATTCAGCAGTCACAAAATTAAAAAGAGAAAGAATATGGTAAAAAAAAAATTAAAATAAATGAGCAAGTGGGGCATGGTGGCATGGGCCTGTAGTCCCAGCTATTTGAGAGACTGACGTGGGGATTGCTTGAGTCCAGGACTTTGAAGCTGAGCAACACAGTGAGACCCCCATCTCTAAATTAAATGAATGAGGTAGGGAAATTAAAACTTTCACACCCAGGACATGCCTGTTGCAACTTTGTAGCCTTCATGCAATACTCAGGGAAAAAGTCTTCATAATTCCTTGGCATAAGTCACACCAAGAAAAGTTTTTAAAAATTAGTATGTGAACCTGCGATAGGAAACATGCCCTTGTTAAGAGTTTCTTCTCTAGAATGAAAACCCAGTTCTTTAAGAGTAGGCACTGAGGAACTAAATTAAGTTGCCTGAAATTTCCCACTCAGGTGCCCACCACTTCTGGTGTTCAGGAAGACAGAGGCATCTGGGAATTGTGAGGAGCACATTGGCGCTCTTGGGGCTCCAACTTGAACTGTATTTAAATAAGCAGCAACACACATATTGACTACCTAAGGACTCAAATGAGTCCAATTGGCCAGGTACTGTGGCTCATGCCTGTAATCCCAGCACTTTGAGAGATCGAGGTGAGTGGATCACTTGAGGTCAAGAGTTTGAGACCAGCCTGGCCAACATGGCGAAACCCTGTCTCTACTAAAAATACAAAAATTAGCCAGGCGTGGTGGCAGGCGCCTGTAATCCCAGCTACTAGGGAGGCTGAGGCAGAGAATCACTTGAACCTGGGAGACGGAGGTTTTTAGTGAGATATCATGCCACTGCACTGTGGCCTGGGAGACACAGCAAGACCCTATTTCAAAAATAAATAAATAAAAATGAAAAAAAAGTCCATTTGAGGGCATCCTAATTAAGAGTCTAAGGTTGAAAGAATATTGTAATTCTACAACCTTAGTGGGTTTCTGTTGTTGTTTTTAAAAGTACATTCAAAAAACAAGGCAAAACAAAAGATGAATACAGAGGCGAGGGGGTATGCAAAACAAGTTCCTAAATAGATGTCAGACCTTGTCCATTTACCCACATACAGTTAGGATGGAAGCATATAATATTCCTCCTCCTCATTTAGGCTAAGTAGTTTTCCACTGTTGTTCAACAAATAGGTAATAGTCTTTGGAAATAGTCACCCTAGGTTGTACAAAGTTTCTATATATATAGTTTGTTGCAAGTAACAAAACTACTTTTAAGACTCACTTCTTTCCCCTCCCCCCCCCAATCTAGTCTGTATTTGTTTTGGTATGAATTTTTTGTTTTTATTTTTTGTAAAGCAGCATAGCAATAATCATGATTACAGGACTGCATGAGCTGTAAAAATCATTTGCATATTAGTAAGAATAAAGAAAACAGGAAGACAAGATTAATTCTTTAGAGAAACAACAACAAAAAAAGCACATAATATAGAGCTGATCAAATTCTATGATCCCATCTCAGGCTTCTTGAGCCAGCTCTCTTTAGGGGTGGCATCTATAAATACATATTCAAGAAATTCCTTAGACGATTAGCAAGTTTGGGGAATTACTGTTTTCTATTAGATTCACATTCTTTTAGTTGTCTCCTGTTTATAAGCCCTACACTCTAGCCTATTTGGTGTATTTGTTGGTTCATAAAAATGCCCAGCATTTATCATTTCTTGCTCATACTGATTTCTTAATCTGTAGAGAGCCTCATCCTTCTTGTGTCTCTCTTTGCCTTTGCAAATTCAGTGCATTACTCAAATCCCAACCCAATATTACTTCCTGAGAGTCTTTTCAGCTGGAGAGAGCTTCTTCCTGCTCAGACTACTTGTAATTCTTTTTTTTTTTGAGACAGTGTCTCGTTCTGTCCCTAAGGCTGGAGTACAGTGGCGCGATCTCGGCTCACTGCAACCTCTGTCTCCAGGTTCAAGAGATTCTCATGCCTCAGCCTCCCCTGAATAGCTGGGTTTACAGGTGCCTGCCACCATGCCCGGCTAATTTCTGTAATTTTCAGTAGAGACAGGGTTTCACCATGTTGGCCAGGCTGGTCTCAAACTCCTGACAACAGGTGATCCGCCTGCCTTGGCCTCCCGAAGTGCTGGGGTTACAGACGTGAGCCACTGCACCCAGCCACTACTTGTATTTTTTAATGACACCTTTTAAATGTACTTATGGTATTTCCCCTATTAGAAGAGCTGGATTTGTAATCTCCAATGTATTCAGTGCTTACTATGTGCCAGGTACTATGCTAAGTTTTTATATGCTCTTGTTTTGATAGGAAGTTTGCTAAATGAAAGCTAAACTAGAAATGTCTTCAAAATAACTAAAATAATAATAGCATGTTATGTTAGAAAACATTCTTTTATAGTCTTACTTTTAATATTCAAAAAATACTAAATTTTATAAAAAATTACTTACCTGGCTTAAAAATAAATCTACTTTCCATCATCTTTATGATTTTATTTTATTTTATTTTTTTTTGAGATGGAGTCTGGCTCTGTCGCCCAGGCTGGAGTGCAGTGGCCGGATCTCAGCTCACTGTAAGCTCCGCCTCCTGGGTTTACCCCATTCTCCTTCCTCAGCCTCCCGAGTAGCTGGGACTACAGGCGCCCACCACCTCGCCTGGCTAGTTTTTTGTATTTTTTAGTAGAGACGGGGTTTCACCGTGTTAGCCAGGATGGTCTTGATCTCCTGACCTCGTGATCGGCCCGTCTCGGTCTCCCAAAGTGCTGGGATTATAGGCTTGAGCCACCACGCCTGGCCCATCTTTATGATTTTAAAATATCAGAATGCTTATGATTACAGAAAAAACTAGAATAGAAAATTTAATTTTCTCATAAAGAGACAATCCTCGAATTTGTAAAAACAGAAAAATTTTAGTTTTTATATAGTTTTATTAATAAGCATACAGAGAAACGCTGATATACATACATTACATGTTCAAAGTGTCACGATAATATTCTGAAACGTACAAAATTCAAATGGCTAAATTTTACATGGCAATGCAAAAGAAAAAATTAATAACAAGTATATTTTATTAAAAACTTCATTTATCATGAAAATTAGTGAGATTACAAAGATTAAACTATAACTGAATTTCATACCCTAATGGGTCAAGTCCCTGGTCTAGGAGCATTAGAGAGGACTCTCTTAGCTTCTGCAGCAACTTCCTTAGCTCTTCCTTAGAAAATACCTGATTTTTAAAAAGAGAAATAAGAATGAGAACAAAGACAAGTATGAACTTAGTTAGCTAATCAATCTGATTAGCTTCATATAAGAAGAAATTCCTCTTTAAGATTTACGTAGCCAAAGGCTAGTAAATTAGAGTGGTTCAGGAATTTCAAGGCGAATTCTCAGAGTCAGTCTATATATTTCTAACTGCTTACAAATATATACACATTTTGGGAAAAAAGCACAAACATTAAAACAGGACTATTACTTTAAGAAAATCCAAGAACAATTACAAATGTAAACACATCTTCACAAAATATTACTACAGAGCATATCAAATCATTAAAATTTAAAACTACAATGCTCTAGAACTTACCAGGTACAGTTTGTGGCGCTCAGAGGATACCATATCTGCTAACTGTAGGCATTCCTGATACTGACCAGTACTGTGCAATATTGTATGAAGCAGAAAACACAACATTGGCAGACAAAGCTTTCTCAGTAAAACCATTTGATGTGTTCTTTCATGGTCTTCTTCAGCATCCTACAAACAGACATCAATAAATCATTTTAACAATTTAAGCTAAAGATCCTTACAAAAAGAAAAGCTAAGTACTGAATCAAATCCAGAATGTAATTGGTAGATAAGATTTAATAGCAAAAAAGTATGAAGATGTATAAAGTAGACTACAGAGAGGTCAGAGGTATGACAGTGAAAATAAAATGCTTCTGCATTTGTATTTCTAATAAACTTACTGTGTCCTGAATAAAAACATGCATAAAAAGAATGAGTTAGAAACTGAATATCATTAGAGCAAAAATCAGAACAGAAAACAATCACCACTCCCTTGGATGTTTACACATATAAATCAAGATAGCTCTAAGGAGGCCTGAGAGGACACACCAGACTGACAGCAATGACTGTTGCTGGGAAAAAGAGGATATGGGGAG